TTTTTTTTTTTTTTTTTTTTCAAAGTTTTGAAGTGACTCTTGTCTTCATGTTCGCAAGCCCAAAATGACTCAGCTTCGGCGGGTGCGCCCTTGGCTCAATCGGCAGCCAGAGTAACAACCGCCAACGTTAGAAATCCTCCAATCGGATAACCTTGTAATCAGGCTCCTCGTAAGGATGGGCCCTATTGAGCGTATGAGTCGGCGATTTCATTCGAAAAAGAGGTCCAAGGACGTGCAACTCACTCCTTCAACGCGGCTACTGCACGTCGCGCAACATCCTCGCCAATGCAGATTGTCTCGACGCGGACCTCTTCCACGTGCTCTAGGGCACCGACAGATCCAATGTTGGGATTGGCCGTGGCGCCCGGACGAAACTGGCCGGTACCCTTGATGGACCAGCAGCACTCCGTGTAGCTTCCAGGTCCCGGATAGCGGCCCGCGCCGGCCTTGAAGATGGCGGCCTTGCAAGCGTCGACGGCGGCCGCGGGCGCGTGGAATATGAAGCTGAATCGAGTTACCGCCGACGATGCCATTCTGCCTTGATAGTGTTTGTTTTGGTTCACTAGACGTCACAAAATATGCCCAGGAGTTGTATAGTGATGGAGGTTGCACGAGGGCAATGAGTACGGTCAATGAGGGGCAGTGGCGTCGTGTCTAAACGGACCCATGCCCAAGCGACCGCGTGTAGGAGAGACTATTCAATGCACGGCAATGTTTTTGCGTTCCCATGCTCGCCAGATTCGGGGTAGTTTGCTCTTTTGAATCATGCATAATTCTACAATATTTTTGCTGCAAAATCATTTTCCTCGGCAGGTCATATAAATGCAGACCACAGAGCCCTTCCGTCCAACTATATCCACCATCACCACCATGCGAGGATGGACCATTTCCCGCATTTTCAAGTCAAACTGACTCGCAACGGATTCGATGCAGCAGAGTCTAGTAGTTCCCATTGTAGTCGAAAGAGCGGAAGGGCCGTCATCGACGAAAGCAGCGAAGCGGATACAGAGGCCGGTGTTTGTTGTCAGCGAGACCTCCAATGCGGAGAAGATGATGAATAAAGTCCAAGAGGGAGATGAAGTTGGGTGTCGTGGTACAAGCCTGCACAGGCTGGTACTCATTGCGCAATTCACTGCTCGCCGCGCGTGAACGCTAAACCTGGTGTGTAGATGGAAACGAATTAAACACTGCTATCTAATATGCAGCCGCTCGGCAAACAAACAACGCGGCAGACGCACTTTGCCATCTCCTCTTTCAAATACGTGACCTGCCGTGTAAGCACTTGAGAGCCGCTTTCCGATTCTCTCTTCCTCTTGCGGCTCGAAACTTCTCTTCCTCCTGCCCGTCCGCTCCAGGCCTCGATTTGACTGGCTTTCGTTGTACCTGTTTTTTTTTTTTTTTTGCCTACATCTATAATCGCTCATCACGGAAAATGGATCTTCAGCCTTGTACGTTGTTTTGTTCTCACTGACGTGCTTCTAATCAAACCCGCCACGCGCCTCGAGCGACGACTAACACCATGGATAGGGGAATTGTATTCATCCGATTCAGAATCGCTGTTCATCTCCGATTCTAAAGCATGCCCCGACGACAATGACAGGGTACCTTGGCAAGGAAGCCCCAAGTTTTGTTCTCTCTTCTTTGCCGATGACAAGGATGCTGAAGAAGAATCCGATCCGGAGCCATTTTATCGGCTTTCTGACGAGGTCCCCCTTGGCCCAGCTGCAGCGCCGCCGATTCGGCCGCGTAGCTATTTCGATTTTGATATCACCGATGAGGACAGTGATGCGGAGTCGATTGACGCCATTGAGGAAGAGCACCTCGCTGCGGCGCCGTCTGCTGATGTTCATGAAGCAGAGTCGGAGGGCTGGCCCGGAGCGGCACAAGGCGCCAATGTTGCGCCTTCTGCTGCGTGGTGCCAGGAGCTCAAGATGATGCGCAAAGAACTCGAAGCCAATACCACGATCATAATGGACCGCTTGGATCATCTATGTACTGCGAATGCTATTGCTCCAAAGCAGGTCACCGCCGTCGCCACCATCCCGGCGACGGGAAAAGATACCGGGACACAGACATATCGCCAGGAGAGACTGGTTGCCTGCGTTTGGGCTGAAGAGGTTCTTGTACGGGGGCAGCAGGTCGTGGTAGAAGATGGGGGCGCTTGGAAGTATGTGACTGTTGTCCTCTTTTTGATAGCGGCTCTCTGGACTGCTTTTCAGGTTACGCTGGATGGCTGAGCAGAGTGTGGGTTCACGGCGTTGGAACTCGGGCAAAAGCAGTTGGTGGGAGGCTAATTTACGGAGCTATGAAAAGAACCGAGAAATATCGAATGAATAAAGGAGCGTGGTTAATCTCAATTAACATGTGAACAGCCGAAGATGGCGGATGAATGATGTCAAACCAAACCAATTCACTCTCGCTTCTGTCTTTTTGCTGCTTCCTAGCTCTGACTGCATTTGCCCAATGCATCGCTCCTAGCACGACGCTCCGAAAATGCCATCGAAACCCAGAGCACGATTTCGACGAAGTCGCTGATAGGTGAGATCGACTTGCAAACAGAGCTGGCAACTGACAACTCGGCCAGCTAGTAGTTAAGCAGACGAGGACACCGTTCTGTGAATACTCCGTCCCCTGCTTCCTAAACTCAGAGACGATATATAAGCTTAGCAGCACGCCACCCAGACGGCAAGATACGATTCATCGAGACAAAAAGACGCGTGAGCCAATTTGGTCACGCTTCGGTTTGTACCACAGCTCGCGGCAAGGTTTCGCGGCCGCCTTCAACTTTGGGTATACTTGATGATGGATATCTACGATTCGATTGGCAAACAGATAGGGTAAGTACACAAGAAAAGATACATGTAGCTTTGTAGTATTCGTCGTCGATAATCGTACAGTCACAAAATGAGATCGACATACATTCCATCACAGCGACGCGAGATCTGCAAATTTGATCGTGGAAACATTTTGAATTTCGCAAAGCACAGTGCCTTTCTACCACCACACTGCACTCGGGTATGTAGCGATCCTCAAAAATTGGCAGTACCACGTCGTCGTATCCAGTGCGAAAAAGTAGGATCGTGAACCCCGGCGCCAGACACTCAATGTGAAAAACGCTTTTTCTCCAGCTGTCCACCCATGCAGTGCTTTTGATTGTTCCTGCCTCAAGAAACGACATCCTTGGTACAAAAAAGGCTTTGTTTTTTTAGTCGCAAAAACGAGAAGAATGATGTGCCATGCAAGATATCCGGAGACCCCAAACGCCCCTGTTCTGGGTGTCCCATCTTCTACCTGCAAAGAGATAAATTATGTTCGCCAGTAAGTAGGTTGTCTATCGCCCACTGCTCGAAAGAATTCGTGATTGTTGTTTTTGCAGATCCGAGATGAATCACCGTGTGATTTGAACCATGAAAGTCATCAATTTACCCAAGGAAAAGAAACGTGCCCCGAATGCGAGCAGTTTACTTTCTTCGGAAAGAGCAACCCTCGGTGAGTCTGGCCTTACCACCGGTAGGCTGGCACAGGACGGTAGTGCAGCCCTGGCAGATGACGACGGTCTGGGCGTGGGAGAAGACGGTGGTGATGACGAAGCAGCCGGGGCACTTGACATCCATGAAGAAGGATCGGGGGGCGGGGACAAGAGTCTGCCGAGAGAAGTAAATGTTAGGAGCCAATTCGTCGCGTTCGGGGTTGTCGGTGGCATGTCGGCATGCGTCGTACCTTGAGCTTGTGCTTCTTGGCCTCGCTGGCCGCGGAAGGGTTCAGAAGATCAACGGCGAGAACCTAGACAGGCATCTGTTAGCATCTTCTAACAGTACATGGTATCCTTGATCAAGCATGGAACGTGTGTCCTCTGGTGTCGAAATGGTCGTCGGGTCGCAGGCGTGTCGCTCTTGTTGGTTTGTTGATTTCACGATGCAGTTTCCGGTAGTCGTCTGCCAATCCATCCTTCGCTTTGCACGTTTGTTCTATTCCATCGGACCGAGCTTATGTTCCATGTTTCGCAAGGCTGAAATGACGCTTACCATCTTGACGGATTATCTCGAGGAAATATCGGTGTTCTTGCGAGAGTCGAGATGCTTGACGAAATCTAGGACGATTTGGAGGCTCGCAAGATGGGTGAGAGGAGTTAAGCGAGGAAAAGTTCGGTGGACTCGGGGGGGCGTTCTGGTTCGCCTCCGGCTCCAAATTTCGTCAAAAGCAGAATAGTGCCATAGGGTTTTCCTGCCCACGCGCACGTGATGAACATTTCAACGGCTCCGATTGGCTGAAGCACCCCACCTTGGTTACTCATAGTGCCAGATTTTTGGAAATTTTATGCAAGAAGGAATTGTGGGCCCATTTGTACAAATTAGTGCAACCTGGACGGTCTGGCAGGCAACGCAGGCACCACCAACAGACCTCACAGCTTGGTGGGGCTGTACTGCAACGAGGGGCAATGAGCTTGTGCAGTGACGTGAGCGCTAGGCTACAGCATAACAGCTCTATTGCTTCTGTGCCTCGTTGAAGTAAGAGCTTCAGACCGATTTGCTTCCAGTCGGGCAAAGACAACCAAGATGGCAGCACCTTCGGAACAAAGGATCGCTGTACCAATTGATGACCCCAACGCAGACACGGAATGGCAAGTGCACTCACGTGCGACCGGTTACAAGTACGACTTTCTAATACGCAACACAGGAATGATATTCTGCGCAAGCATGGAGTTATTCCAGAAAAGCCACCGAGCCCTACACCGATGATCGAGGAAGCCATTGTCGAAGGCAGGCGACTTGCGCACGAAAATCGACTCGAAGGCAAAGATCTCGACGAGCTCGAGGAGCTGGAAGACGAAGAGGATGACGCCTTCCTCGAGGAGTACCGTAAAAAGCGCATGGCGGAACTCAACAATTTGCAAAAGAAGTCTATACATGGCACTGTTTACCCGATATCGAAGCCAGATTACCAGCGCGAGGTCACAGAAGCTTCGGAGAAGGGCCCCGTATTTGTCAACCTCACGTCGAGTATGGGCACCAATGTCGAGTCGCGCGTTTTGTCCGAGCTCTGGAGACAGGCAGCGCAAGAGTATGGCGACATCAAATTCTGCGAAATTCGCGCAAACCAGGCCATCGAAAACTACCCCGACCGCAACTGCCCCACCATCTTGGTTTACAACAAGGGCGACATTGTGAAGCAGGTCGTCACGCTCATGACCTTTGGCGGAGTGCGCGCAACGATGCGTAATATCGACGATATGTTGGTAGAGGTTGGCGCTGTACCGGAATCTGACATGCGCATCATAAAGAGGCGGCAAGCTGTCGAGGATGCAGAAGAAGAGCGACTGGCAGGCGGCAAAACTATCAAAACGGGAACCGCGGGTCGGTCCCGAGGCGATGACGACGACGACGATTGGGACTGAGCATAATGCAAAGGCACCAAAGCAGAATAAAACGAAAAGTCGATCATGGTTGCCATTGGTTCTGTAGAGTGTTGGCACTTTCCATCCACAGCCCCTAGGCTGAGGATATGTAGCGGCAGCAATTATGGCGGTCTTCTGCCTGAATCTCCGCAGGAGCTCAATTCCTCAATGCATGTATATCTGTTTGCGTCTGAACGCGTAAATGGCTGTTCATTGGTAATTCAAGCCAGGAAATTAGTTAACTAGGATCTTCAGACCCTGAAATTGGTCTACAACGTTGGAGGCCCCGCATCGCTGTGGTCCCTCTATTTTCGCTCCAAAGTCGATTTCTTTGGACGGCGTGGTATTTAATGAATTAATCGCCGACAGGTTGCCATGACACTGAGATAAAGTCCGAAGTCTAGACGCCAAGAGCCGTTGACCCTCGGCACCGGCGCATCTTTGATACCGTTAAGTAGTAGTTGTGCCGCGCCGTCTACGGAGTAGTCTGTTGCGGAATCCGATCAGCTCACTATCGCCTTTTAATGGAAACCTTGTTTACTTGTTTCTCTGTCCCGCTACTTTGCGGTGGCGTCATTGAAAGCCGGCCCATGTCGACGACGATCAGCGTTGAATAAGTACTCTGCAATCGCCAGTTCTCTCTGTCGCTTCCGTTGGTTCCTTGACATTTGCTTTTCTTTTTCTTAGACCGCAACGCAACACCCCAACTCATCAACGTCTTCACAAAACAATATTCCCTAAAAGCAACCAACTCGATAATTTCAGTCATGGCCGACGGCAAATTGGTCCTTGTGACGGGCGGTTCCGGCTTCATTGCGCTGCACGTCATCCACAAGCTATTAGAAAAGAACTACAAGGTGCGCACGACGGTGCGCTCGCTCAAGCGCGGCGATGACGTGCGGGCGGCAATCCGCGGGGCCGGCGTCGCCGACGACAAGGTCAACGGCATCGAATTCGTAGAAGTCGACCTCCTCGGTGAGTCGGGCTGGGACGCGGCCTGCGCCGGCGTCGACTTTGTGCTGCACGTCGCGTCACCGTTTCCCGCGAGCGAGCCCAAGGACGAGAACGAGCTGATCCGGCCGGCGCGCGAGGGCACGCTGCGGGCGCTGCGGGCGGCGCGCAAGGCCGGCACCGTGAAGCGCGTCGTCGTTACTTCGTCCGTGGCGGCCATCATGTACGGCCACGAGCCGCGCAGCGCCGACCACCCATTCACGGAAGAGGACTGGAGCGAGGTAGAAAACCCGGCGTCGCCCGTGGGCGCGTACCCCAAGAGCAAGACGCTGGCCGAGCGCGCGGTGTGGGACTGGCTCGCGGACGAGGGCCGCGGCGCCTTTGAGCTGGTGACGGTGAATCCGGCCCTCGTGTGCGGGCCCTCGCTGGGCAAGGGCGTCAACACGAGCCTCGAGATTCCGCGGCGGCTGCTGTCGGGCGAGATGCCGGCCATGCCCGACCTCAACTTTGGCATCGTCGACGTGCGCGACGTGGCCGACCTGCACGTGCTGGCGCTCGAGTCGCCCCGCGCCGCCGGCCAGCGCTACATTGCCGTCTCGGACGAATCCGAGATTTCCATCCGCCAGATGGCGGCAGACCTCAAGCGCGAGCTACCCGCCGCGGACACGCGCCGCGTGCCGAGCCTCTCCGTCCCCAAGTTTCTCCTGTGCATCGCCAGCTTCTTCGACAAGAGCATCGCCGTCATCCTGCCCGAGATTGGCCGCTCGCGCCCCTTGTCCAACGCCAAGGCACGCAACGAGCTGGGGTGGCGGCCGCGTAGCGCGGCGGACGCGCTCGTCGCCAGCGCTAAGAGTCTCAAGGCCAACGGTGAGCTTTAAACCAGCCTGCGGAGGCAGGCGGCAGAAAGTGAAGGGATGCGCCGCAGGCTATGAGGGCATGAGCGACAGCGCTTGTGTGTACAAGAGGAACGAAGGACATGGTTATGGTCGAGTCAGTAAAGCAAGAGTCCTTGCGACTGGTGCAACGGGAAGGCGATAGTATTCGCGTCCACAGATTGGTATTGAATGTATTGCGTTTGCTTGGATCCTATGATAATATAAATTGAATTTATGGCCAAGTCAACATTGACAGCATCATCGGTCTCAACAGGAGCGGAGTACATTGCCTCGTCTGACCACGGCTAGACGCCACGATGCACAAAGATGTGTATACACATTGGCTCCCTACGAGTTTGCATGCACTGTGAACAGGTCTCAATGAAAGCCATGTGCCAGCCCGCATTAGCGACGCCACACCCGCTGCTGACCAGTCCCGACGCCGTCACTCGTACGCTCGAGTCGAACATAATGCGTCGTCAGTTTATGTGAATCTCGCAAGCCTGGAATATGTTGTAATGGTAACATCTCTTTCATCGACACATTTCAGATGAACAAAACGCAGCCGCGATAAGGAGAAGAATTGATTTTTTAGATGTTCCATTAACTGCCATCATTTTCGGATCTTACTAGGATTACTATAGAGCCACACACAGCTTCACTGACGCCACGCACACAAGCGTTGATTTGGCGTCTCCAGGCACAACAAAGTAGTCATGCATCTAATGATCATAGTATAAAAGCACTCATAGATTCTGCCCCGGATAGCAGTGCCGGGCAGCAAACACATGGAGCACGCACAGAATACTGTGCAGAAGCCTCCCCGTCACCTACAAAGCAGGGCCCGAAAAACCTGCAGAGGAGTACGCTGGGATATATAAAACGGTGATTGCGCGAGTCTGAAACAACAACTCTGTTGTGATTGCCAGTGTGCACCGAAGGATGGCGCCAGGTGTGCCGTGACTTGCGGGAGGAGCCATTGGGGTGGCGATCGGGGGTGATGACGCGGACAGGGGCGAGTACATGGGGGTATCAAGAAGAGATCGTCTGAGAAATTGACGGCACACGGAGAATACGGGACGTTTGTGTAGGCCGAGCCGTAAAGAGCTTTCATTTATTTTGGTGTGAAGCGGAAGCTGAAAGAGAAAGGTGGCTGAGACCACATGCATGAGAGTTGCTAACTAACGTTGTATGTGGCATAGGCACATTGCACATCTTGTTAGCCGTCAATCTTGACTTTGCTATTATCTTGTTCTTGTTCTTGTTCTTTTTCTTTTTCTTTTTCTTTTCAGTTTGCCTTTTTTTTTTTTCGTATTATTGTCATCGTTGACATAAGTCATATTTCTTTTGGTTCTCTTGCACCGTTAGACTACCCTCTCTTGATCAACATGGTTTTGAAATCAAATCAGCGCTCATATTGATATAGTCCTTTTCAAGTTATTATGCATTGCTCCCGTATTCATTTCTCCGTTGCAGCGGTCTTTTGCGGCGGATCTCGACCAGCAACCCTGAGACGAAGAGGGTGTTGTCTTACTGTAGGGGCTTCTCAGAAATCCTTGATTGCTCGATGATCGGATTGTCCATGAGTCAAGGCATCGAACGCATTACAAATATCGGTCCCCTGCAGCCGCGTGCCTGTCTGGGCCAATCCGCAAATCGTAGCTGGCGCCGCTCGTCGGGAAGGAAAAAGGCGGCTTGTTTCAGCGGGACATTTATTACTATTTCGGGACTCCAACGGGCGGCAGCTAATGTCTAAAACTTGGCACTTTGCCTCGGCGCTAGTTAGTTAGCAAATCACTGCGTACACACTATACACTATGAATACTATGCAGGCGAGGTCCGTTTTCTGACAGGCTTTCAAAGAACTTTCGCATTCAGAATTTATGCCAAAAATGAATAATAATCATCTCAATTTCTTGCGATATTCTAGAATTGTTTAGATTTTTCAAGCCTAGTGTAGCATGTAAAGAGCTGACATGCTAGCCTCGTGGCGCGCACCACACACGACACCACCCACTGCCTCGCGATGCCTCCTCCTCGCCGTTAGTCTGTCCCAGCCGTGGTTTCATGCCTGACCAACATGTGCCGCCGCCACCACCATTACCACCACCACCACCGACACCACCATCGCGCCGTCTTCCTTCCTTGCTGGCGCTAGTGCAGCCGCTGGTGTATTTGCATCTTCAGCCGAAGGTGCTTGTGATTCACTTTCTGCGGTTCCCGCCCTTCCCCTCTCCAGCCAAATCTCGAATCCCGTCACCGAACCCACGCGCAGGAATCATGATTGTCGACGTCCCCGTCGCCCACTCGAGGTCATGAACTCTACCGCTGTCGCCGAATCAACTTCTGTCAGCTCGTCGTCCGATGCTCCGATAGCGATTCATCAGCCTTGATGCGCTCGTCACCCGCCGCCGCCGCCGCCGCCGCCGTATCAGGACCTCCCTCCCCGCGGATTGCGCTTTCTGCAAACGCCAATCTTAGCCGCCGCCGCCTCTTTTCAAGCCAACATCGCATTGCCAGGTCACCAGGCATCCGAGGCGTATATAAAATAAAACCCGCATCGGCCCTGGCACTTTGATAGTCTTGCTGCCGACGCGACTCCCGCCCATCTACCCGCTCGGAGCCCGGGGCGCTCTGCGCACCCTGTCGCCCGCGCCGCGCCCGCGCCGCCATGACGACAAACGCCGTGCCAGACACGCAATTGGGTCTGACGGCCGAGGAGATTCAGCTCCTGCGGCAAGGCCAGGCAGCCCTCGCCGGCGGTGGTGGCGGTGGCGGCTCCAGCTCCTCCCGCGCCGCCAGCAGGGCGAGCAGCCAGGGGCTGCTGCTGCTCGACAGCTCGTCGCTCGCCGCCCTCGGCCGCTACTTTGACCGCCTCATGGCCAGCATTGAGCAAAACATACAGTACCTCAGCGAGCAGGCTCAAATGTTCACCCAGGTCCAGTACGATCGCGCCGGCAACATCATCGACGGCGCCGACGCCGAGATTGCCCGCTACACCGAGATACTGCGCCAGCTGGACGAGTTGGAAATGGACTTTGATCGCATCGCCAATGTGAAGGACATTGTCAAGGGCTACCGCTCGAGGGTCGAGGACTTGGAACGAAGTCTAGAGACTAGCGGATCGTCGAGTCGACACAAGCACTCTTCATCTAGTTCACACAAGCACAGCAGCTCACACAAACACAGCTCTTCCCATCGCCATCGACGCTGAACCTTGGCGAACAATCTCCCGATCTTGCTGATTCTAATTCTCGGAGCTGATTCTGTTCAGCGACATGACTTCAGGCCCATGTACCGCGGCCGTTACGCCATTCGTGCACATTTCACCCCTGTGTGCTTGCAATCGTGTATTTACCTTGCTCTGAAATTTCTCACGAAATTTCACTCCGCCCCAAAGACCGCAGCTGGCTGCCACCAAACGAACTGTTATCTTCTGACGGATGTGGAAAAACCACGAGGCTTCTAACCCCTGTTAGAGTTGTTCATCTCCGCCAGGAACAGGGACAGACAGCAGACAAAAGACGATGATTCCGGCCTCACGGCCTAGCAAGACCAAAAACCTCGCGGCCCTTTGCTTTTTCTGCCATTTATTCTTATCATGCTTTATTTTCGGCACTTGTCTCAGTTCTTATCCATATTCAGGTCGTTCTCGTTTTGGGCTTTCTTATGCGCTCGGCTTGAGCCCCATTCTTCCACACTTGGGAACAAAAGAACTGACTACCAAACAAATATCACGATGAGTCGGACTAGGAGGGTCAATATTCTTACATTTCCAGCTGACTGAGTCGCCCGGACAGCCCTGCTAGGGCAGTCTTGTACCCGTCGCAGATCTTACTTAAGCTTGTATATCTTTGTACTTTCCTTTGTTCGAATTTTCTTTGCTGGGTGGCTTGGAGGAGCCATGACGAATGGTCTGTATTTTGCGGCCATGGCAACGATGCAAATTGGTGCGGTGTCTTTGACTTTACTGGATCTTGTGCCATTTTATACCCCTCTGTTCTTTGCTTATACATCACTGTACACGCTCACATGTCGGCCTCTGTTTGCTTTACCTTTTTGGGCAGCTATGAGCAATCGCTCTTGGGGATATGCAACTATCGCTGCCATTCTCTTGTTGCCTACGTTGTCAGTATCACATCTAGACGAGGTAGGCCAAAAAATTGTATGCTACATCGAGACAAGGAATACATTCCAGATCATGGAGTAGCATTCGTGTTTGTCATCTACCCCTTTACCTGTGACCACTTGACAGACATGCAAAAATCCAATCATTACCAGCACTTTTCGAGAGGCAAGGTCCCAAAGATCAAAAAAATGTACAGCACCCGGCGTTCGCTGGTCGTCACCGAACCAGCTACTACTCAGGCGCTCGAGTGGTTATCGCTCGGAGATCAGACGGGATCCAGATTTGTCACTCGGCTGTGGCCGTACATGTCAGGTGTATCATCTATTTAGCTATAGAAAGAAGAAAACTGTCATGTGCAGGCGGGCGCAAGCGCGCAGCACAGTCTCATGCGTTGGCTCGCGGAAGGGGTTCACCGTCAGGCGACTGCAGCCCATATTGGCCTCACCGCTCAACCAAAGGCATTTCAAGTGACAAATGCACTGTTTCCATACATGTTGCTGTCTTTGGAAGCGCGTCGTTGGCTGCATCTGCTCGAGTGTCGACTACTGGAGGAAACATTCACGGTAGCATCGCAGTAATCGGTGCCCACAAACTCGTATGACGTAGGTAGTATGATGTATTTCCATGGTTGTTTTCTCAGTAAAAAACAAGATAATTTCGTGTCGCGCATTTCAGCCTTTCTTTATGTATAGACCAACCACCCATGCCTCCCATCGACAAGTCTCACTTCTCACCCCATGATTTAGATGTAATTCGCTTAAATCTCGAAAACAGTTCGAATTCATTGCCGAGTTTACAACTACTTCTTTGTATCTATGCGATACCTCAATAGCATAATGCTATTCTCCATCTCCTGCAGCCCCTCATTGATGACGTCCGATTTCTGCATGAGCTCAGCAATCGCGCCCTCGACCTCTAGGCTCTCGAGGTACTTGTTCGAGGTCGGGCTCGGGTCGTGGATGCACTTGAGGCGATCGAGCTCGGCCTTTTTCTCTCTCAGCTTGTCGTGGACCTTGAAGAATTCCTGCTTCAGCACCGCGCGTCTGTTTTCGGTGGCCGTGAGCTCGACCTTGAGCTGGGCAACGGTTGGATCCTCCATGTTTGGGTCCGTGACCCGGTAGTACGGGGTTCGCGACGAGCAAAACGCTGATGGCGGCCAGCTTTTAGCTGCGTTGGATGAAAGCTGGGTTGTTGTTCCAGGTGAGTGAGTCTCTGATGAACACGATGGGAAAGAGTCGAGGCTTGGTGATGAAAATACATTGGATTGATGGAAAGACTGCATACTATTATACTTCTGAGAGTACGCTGTCTAGGTGCTTGTAATACTGTGACGGCGCTTCGCCGAGAATTTCGTTCTCAGCCGAACACCTGACCTGGTGTGACTGTAAGAATCATATAGCCTGGAAGAAACCACGGCTTTTCAAAGGGACATCCCAAAGCAAAACGAGGCGAGGCTCGGCTCGGGAGTGCCGCAAGCTGTGCAAGATTGTCTGTATTGAGACCTTTTCGCGAACCAGAGCCGCGTGCAAACACTCCTCTGTCCAAATGGTAAATTTCGGCCCCAATGCTGAGGAGAGAAACGGTTAGATACAGCAAATACACAGTGTTTAGGAATCAGTGTGCTGCTTGTGCCAATAGCAGACTGTTCATGGGTTGCACAGCAGCAGCAGAGCTGAAATACACGACATCCGTCGCATTCGCTGCCCTGTGAGCCAGTCACCGTCAGCAGCAAACCAAGTGACTGAATCCAACAAAAGAGTGTGCTAATACTAGCATAAAGTGTCGTGTGTTGCGAGCATCATGGTCACGTTCAGGTGCTACATGTACCAGGTCGCAGTATTGCTCTCTGCCAGCCACGTCTTGCTTGCTTGGATGAAGGCACAATGCCATACTTCGTGTAATGTGCAATAACTTAGTAACCAGAAGACCTGGAACCCAATCATTGAGTGACTAGGGCGTCTAATTGACCACGTGTACGCCTTGCGAGCTCTGCTGATGTGTTGTGCCAACCATCCACTGACGGACAGCCGGCATGACTGGCTACTCCCAGTCAATATAGTTTGAGGCGTAAGCTCCGATAGTTGCAGATCTCCGTGATACATAAAAAGACATTTGTCCTACTGGAAATTGCGACATTTGATAAAGGTTGTTATCCGCCCTGCAGAGATTTTCTGTGTGATTGCTTTTCTGCCGACTTACTACTACACTTCTGCTACACAGTTAGAAGAGCACACTTCCGATCTTCGGAGAGTCCAAGGCAAATGTTAAGAGCTACAAGCGTTTCTAGACCCGAAACGGTGATGCAGCAGCGTAGAGTGCTCGGGATAGTAAATCATGCGTGCTTTCTGTTTGATTGGTGCGGCTATGGCAAGTGGTGTAAGGCTTCACCTAATACTAATAATACACCTTTTGTCAATGACTCTTGTAATTCTTTATCCGATGTGTCGACCGAAACACGACATGGCGGCGTACTTCTAGTTGGAAATTTGCTCCGAGAAGAAAATATGGCATTTCTGTGGACTACAAAACTCAGCATCACACGAGCAGCGAGCGTCATTCACGCGACACGCTTCCGATTCAGCCCACAGCATAAACGAGACCGTCTGCTTTGCTCTGCCTCGTGGGCTTTTTTTTCCCGAGTCATGCTATGTTATTGCCGAGTGACAACGGACCAACAACCTTGTCACTGATACAACCGGCCGTTTCTACATGTGGCTTCGGCTTCTGTGAGCCAGCTCGTCGGTATCTGAACAGCTCAAATGCCCTCCTTTTTCTTGGCGCCGAAATGGGCCTCTGCGGAGATTTGCGGATCAACAACAAGGATCAAGTTGTTGTCCCCTTGAGGCAGGAGGTATTATCAGTGCAGTATACCCACGAATCCACGATGCCCTTCAGACAAAAAGATGCGCCCACTAAGATGGGGTCTGCTCATATCCCGAGAGCCTTGCACCTCGGCAGCATCGCCTTATATTCGGTCGAATGGCGCACGCATGATTGAAAGCGGGTAGATGGAATCTGTCCACTCACACCAGCGAAGTCCATTGTGCGCAGGGCAGTGTTTCAAGAGTGGGCTCTTGGTCGTCACAAGCTCATGCATAAAATTTCTTCCCAACCGCGCCTGCTTGCTTGTCGACCCTCTCTCTC